CAAATATATATATATATATATATATATATATATATATATATTAAAAAAAACAACTCATGCCCTAACCTGTTTGGCTCAGTGGATAGAGCATTGGCCTGTGGACTGAAGGGTCCCAGGTTCGATTCTGGTCAAGGGCATGTACCTTGGTTGTGGGCACATCCCCAGTTAGGGAGTGTGCAGGAGGCAGCTGATCGATGTTTCTCTCTCATCGATGTTTCTAACTCTCTATCCCTCTCCCTTCCTCTCTGTAAAAAAAAATCAATAAAATATATTTTAAAAAAACAACAAAACTCATTTTATCATCATGCAATGCCTTCCTTATTGTTTTTTTCTTACTTTATCTTTAATATTGAAAATATTACAGATATTCCCATTTCTCCTTTTGGAGAGGTCTGCCCCCCTCCCCCATATCTCCACCAAACTATTGTCTGTGTTCATGGGCTATGCATATATGCATATAAGTTCCCTGGTTAATCTCTTCCCACCCACCCATCCACCCCACCTTCCCTCTGAGATTTGACAGTCTGTCCCATGCTTCTATGTCTCTGGGATCTATTTTGTTCAACAGTTTATTTTGTTCATTAGATTCCATATCCGTGAGATCATGTGATACATGTCTTTCTCTGACTGGCTTATTTCACTTAGCATGAGACAGGTACCTCCATTCTGTCTCAAAGGGTAAGATATCTTTTTTACAGCTGCATAGTATTCCATGATATAAATGTACCACAGCTTTTCTATCCACTCATCTACTGATGGGCACTTGGTCTATTTCCAGATCTTAGCTATTGTAAATTGCACTGCTATGAACATAGGGTTGCATATATTCTTTCTGATTGATGTTTTGGGTTTCTTAGAATATATTCCTAGAAGTGGGGTCACTGGGTCAAATATCAATTCCATTTTTAATTTTTTGAGGTAACTTCATACTGTTTTCCTTAGTGGCTGCACCGGTCTGCATTCCCTCCAGCAGTGTACTAGGGTTCCCTTTTCTCCACATCCTCACCTCATTTACTGATTTGTTCATGATAGCCATTCTGACAGGTGTGAGATGATACCTCGTTGTTTTAATTTGCATCTCTCTGATGATTAGTGACTTTGAGCATTTTTTCATATCTCTTAACTATCTGTATGTCCACTTTGGAGAAGTGTCTATTTAGGTCCTTTGCCCATTTTTTAATTGGATTATTTGACTTCCTTTTGTAAAATTGTATGAGTTCCTTACATTTTTTGGAAATGAACCCCTTATCAGATGTATCATTGCCAAATACATTCTCCCATTAGGTGGGCTCCCTTTTAATTTTGTTGATGGTTTCTGTGGCTGTGCAGAAGCTTTTTATTTTTATGTAGTCCAGGGCACCTGGTCAGGCAGCCAGGTTGCGATTGCAGGCCCATCTGTCTGGGGGTCGGGGGTGGGGTGATGGGTCACGATGGCAGGGCCAGGTGCGCTAAGTCAAGATGACAGGGAAGGCAGGCCAGGCAGGCCCTGTCAACGTGGCAGGGCGATTGTCCAGGGCACTGGTTCAGGCTCGCCAGGTCATGGCGTCAGGCCCGTGCTGGGGGTGTCCGGTCTCAGCACTGGGGCCCTGCATGCCTGACTAGCATCAGGGTGCTGGGCCTCGGCTGTTCCCCACCGCCTCCTTCCAAGGAGAACCCTGAGGATCCTCCAAAATGTCAAGCACTCCACTCTCAATGGGAGAAAAGCGCCCGACCAATCCGCATGAGGCCTAGCGGCTCCTCCACCAGGAGTGCCCGAACCACCCGGAGGTCCCACACTGACTGAAAGATGCCCTCCACACTCACACCCACACCATCTCTCCCTCCACACTCACACCCACACCATCTCTCCCTCCACACTCACACCCACACCATCTCTCCCTCCACACTCACACCCACACCATCTCTCCCTCCACACTCACACCCACACCATCTCTCCCTCCACACTCACACCCATACCATCTCTCCCTCCACACTCACACCCACACCATCTCTCCCTCCACACTCACACCCACACCATCTCTCCCTCCACACTCACACCCACACCATCTCTCCCTCCACACTCACACCCACACCATCTCGCCCTCCGCACTCACACCCACACCATCTCTCCCTCCACACTCAGACCCACACCATCTCTCACATGCTCTCACACACACTCTCACCCTCACTCAGGTACTACATGCCCCCATGTTGGTCCTCTGCCTTCCTTATTCTTAATAATTAAGTCTGACAAGGTATATTTTTGTCAAAAATACATCAGCTTTCCTTTTTTCAGGCATTTTCTTACTATAATCTTT